CTCCACAATAAATATCAGGAAACTTTGGAAGAAAACATTTATTATTTGCAAGACCTGAAAATTACATGACACACTTAGAGCCACAGAGAGGGGCTGCAGGGAGACAGAGAGTGAAAGGTTCTACTTTTATTGGGGTTGTGGGTGGGGGGGCCTAGGGTTTTGAGGGCTTACTCTTTACTGATGAAGTCAGAACATAAGAGCAGGAATTTAATGTGAAGGAAGAGAAAAAAACAAGCAGCCCAAATGGTCAGTTGTTGAAATCAATCAAGATCTCTAAAACAAAAAAGCCTTGGAAGAGGGGAGACCTGGCTCTTTATCTAGTCATGTGGCTGACAAGTGTTTGAAATAGCCATCTTTGAAGTGGATGCCTTGGTTTAAGTCAGGCACTTGCATTATTAAAGAAGGAAAACTGTTAGGGCTTATACTATACAATACTTATAAAACTGTATACAATGTAACTGTATTGTTAGGCCTAGAACATATAGAAATGTACTATATTTAATAATAACAGCACAAAGATGAGTGGGGCAAAGTTGTATTAGAATGAAGAAATGACACTAGATAGTAACTTGAATCCACAAGAAACAAAGAGAAATAGAAGCGGTAAATAAGAAGGTTAATATAACAACCTCTATAGTATAAACTTTGCCTCTTCTTTGTTCAGCATCTTTCGTTGACACAAAAATATATAAAGTTTGGGTTCATGACATATATAGACATAATGTGTAGAACAACATGAAACAGAGGATGTGGAAATAAAGCTACCGACGGGTAACATTTCTGTATCTCACTGAAACTAAGTTAATACACAGGTAAAGTAGATTTTGATAACTTAAGATGGATATGGCTAGCTACACAGACGAGATTAAGACATTTCCAAATCTTAAAAAAAAAAAAAAGAAAATGTCTACCAGATACCCATGTTTGAATAATAATGGGGCGCCTGGGTGGCTCAGTTGGTTAAGCGACTGCCTTCGGCTCGGGTCATGATCCTGGAGTCCTGGGATCGAGTCCCACATCGGGCTCCCTGCTCAACGGGGCGTCTGCTTCTCCCTCTGACCCTCTTCCCTCTCGTGCTTTCTATCTCTCATTCTCTCTCTCTCTCAAATAAATAAATAAAATCTTTAAAAAAAAAAAAGACATTTCCAAGAAGACAGAAACTGAGAGTTCATCACCAATCTAGAACTGCTTTAAAAGAAATGCCAAAGGGAATTCAAGTTGAAATGAAAGGACACTAAGTAACAACATGAAATCTTAGGAAAGTATAAAACTCACTGGTAAAGATAAATAGTCAATTTCAGAATATTTTACTATTGCAAAGGTGGTGCATAAATCACATTTCAATATAAAAGTTAAAAAACAAAAAATATTAAAAATAACTAGCTATAATAATTTATTGATAGGCAATATAAAAAGATGTAAAATGCATCATTAATATAAAATGGGGGAGGGCAAGGGTAAAAGCAGGGCATTTTTATGCAACTGAAGTTATTAGCTTAAAATAGACTGTTACAAGATGTTTTATATAAGACTCATAGTAACCACATAGAAAAAACCTATAGTAGATACATGAGATAGAGAGAAGGAATCTATTTTTAAAAATCCTCAGGGGCGCCTGGCTGGCTCTTTCTGGGGGTCATGTGACTCTTAATCTTGGGGTCCTGAGTTCAAGCCCCACATTGTGGGTGGAACCTACTTAAAATAAAATAAAATAAAAACTCTCCCCCCACCTCACTCTTACTCTTTCTTGCTATCTCTGTCTCATTTATTTATTTGAGAGAGAGCCGGGGGGGGCTGGATACAGAGGGAGATTGAGAAGAAGACTCTCTGCTGAGCAGAGAGTCCCAACATGGGACTCGATCCCAGGACACTGAGATCATGACCCGAGTGGAAAGCAGATGCTTAACCAACTGAGCCACCCAGGCACCCCAAATAAAATCTTTAAAAAAATAAAAAATAAAAATTTGAAAAACATAAATAAAAAATCATCAAATCACAAAGGAAAACAGCAAAAGAGGAAGAAAGGAACAAAAGAACTACAATACAGTAAGAAAACAATGACTGAAATGGCAATATTAAGATCTTATATATCAATAATTACTTTAACTGTAAAGAATTAAATTCTTCAACCAAGGCCACCAAGTAGCTGACTGGACCAAAAAAAAAAAAAAAAGAAGAAAAATAAAAAAGATCCCGAAGTATGCTGTCTACAAGAAAATCACTTAAAAAAAGAAAAAAGAGGGGCACCTGGGTGGCTCAGATGGTTAAGCGTCTGCCTTCAGCTCAGGTCATGATCCCAGGACAGAGCCCCACATTGGGCTCCCTGCTCGGCAGGAAAGGGTCCTGGGATTGAGCCCCGCATCAGGCTCCCTGCTCCGCGGGAAGCCTGCTTCTCCCTCTCCGACTCCCCCTGCTTGTGTTCCCTCTCTTGCTGTGTCTCGCTCTGTCAAATAAATAAATAAAATCTTAAAAAAAAAAAAAAAGAAAGAAAGAAAGAAAAAGATATTCTAGTATGCCTGGGTGGTTCAGTCAGCTAAGTGTCTGCCTTCAGCTCAGGTCATGATCTAGGGGTCCTAGGATTGAGCCCCACATCAGGCTTCCTGCTCAGCAGGGAGTCTGCTTCTCTCTCTCCATCTGCCCCTCCCCACTGCTTGTTCTCCCTCTCAAATAAATAAAATCTTTAAAAAAAATAAAAAGACATTCTGTGCAAATGATAATCAAAAGAGAGCAGAGGTGGTTATGCTTAAATCAATAAAAATAGACTTTTAGTCAAAATCTGTCAGGAGACAAGGGTCGCTATATAATAAGTGGTCAATTCAAAAAGAGGATATAACAATTATAAATATATATGCATTCAACATTAGAGCATTTAAATATATAAAGCAAATACTGACAGATCTGAAGGGAGAAGTAGAAAGCAATAAAAGGATAGTGGAGAACTTCAATATCCCACTTTCAACAATGGATAGCTCTTTCAGACAGAAAATCAATAAGGAAAAAGTGGACTTGAATAACACTTTAGACCAAATGGAACTAACGGACATACACAGAACATTCCATTCAACAGCAGCAGAATACACATTCTTCTCAACACACACAACATTCTCCAGGATACATCATATGTTACGCTGTAAGACAAGTCTTACCACGTTTAAGACTGAAATCATATCAAGTAACTTTTTGACCCCAATAGTTTGAAACTACAAACAGAAGGAAAACTGGAAAATTCACAAATATGTGAAAATTATATATTTTCAGGAGTACACACTCCTGAACAACCAATGGATCAAAACAGAAACCAAAGAGTTTCTTAAGAAAAATGAAAATGGATATAAACGTATGGGATAAAACAAATGCAGTTCTAAGAGGGGAGTTTACAGGGGTAAAAGCCTACCTTAAGGAAAAAAAAAAAAAACTTAAGTACCTAACTTCACACCTCAAGGAACTAGAAAAAAAGAACTAAGCCCAAAGTTTGCATAAGGAAGGAAATGATAAACCTAAGAGCAGATATAAATGAAAGAGACTTAAAAGACAATAGAAAAGATCAATAAAAACGTAGAGTTGGTAGGCGCCTGGGTGGCTCAGTCATTAAACATCTGCCTTCGGCTCAGGTCATGATCCCAGGACAGAGCCCCACATTGGGCTCCCTGCTCGGCAGGAAGCCTGCTTCTCCCTCTCCTACTCCCCCTGCTTGTGTTCCCTCTCTCACTGTCTCTCTTTCTGTTGAAAAATAAATAAAATCTTAAAAAAAAAACCAAAAAACTAAGAGTCAGTCCTTTTTAAAGAAAAAGTTGAAAAATTTTTAGCTTGTCTGACTTAACCAAAAACACAGAGACAGAGAAGATTCAAATAAATAATATTATAAACAAAAGGAGAGAGTTCCAATATTGCAGAGCAGGCAATGAAGGATGAGCAGAAAGGCAGTAAGTTTATAGCTGGTACAATGTTTATAAATCCCTGGATAATACTGAAAATAAATGAAAGAGGGCTAAATTTGGACCAATGATGAGAATTTCATGAATAAAAGATTATAACTGGGGCACCTGGGTGGCTCAGTCAATTAAGCGTCTGCCTTCAGCTCAGGTCATGATCCCAGGGTCCTGGGATCAAGCCCCCCATCAGGCTCCCTGCTGAGCCTGCTTCTCCCTCTCCCTCTGTCTGCTACTCCCCCTGCTTGTGCTCTCTCTCTGCCTGTCAAATAAATAAAATCTTAAAAAAAATTATAATTAATCTACTTTCATCTGAAGAATTTTTAAAAAGTTAATCCCTGGAAGAATACAAAAGAATTGACAGCTGTGGTTGACCCTGTGTAAGTAAAGCAGGTGGCTATAGAACCAGTATTAAGGAAGCTTTAATTTTTACTTTACTTGCTTGATAACTTCTGAATTTTGTAGCATGTGCTTTTATTGCCTAATTTTTTTAATTAAAAAATCAATGTAATATCAAAACATACATACACTCTCATGGTTGGTAATCTACCCTCCATAATGGAAATAAAAGAATGACAATGTAAGAATGTTTATTGTATGACTATTTGTGATGGAAATAGAAACAACTGAATGTCTACAGTAGGAAATGGCTTAGAATATAGATATATATCCCATACTAGAAATATTCTGAGGCTTTAAAAATAATGAGTTAGATCTTTATGTATTCACCTGGGAAAATGTTCTCAATTATTTGTGCAAAAAGAAATTGCCATGAAATATGTCACTATAGGTGGTATAACCTTCCACACACATGCAATAAACCCTCCATATTTGCAGGTATGTTTGAGCAGGAAGGAGCAACACACACATATTGGCAATCTCAGGGATTTGTGAAAGGGGAAGAAATTGTTTTCATTTTATTTCTGCCACATTTCACTAGTTTCAGTAAAAACACTGTTTTATAAAATTTATCTCCAATACTGGGTGTTATAACAACCCAGAAACAGCACTGGAACCAGAGCAATTAAAAAATTTTACCTGTTAATTATTTTCCATTTTCCCACTTGAAGTTTTTTTTTTGTCCCAAGGATTACTGAAATAAATCAGTATTAATGAAATCCGATATTTTACCAACTTTTACCTTGAAGACAAAAAGGAAAACCTGTATTTCTAAAAATATTATCATGATGCTAGACTAGGATGGGGAGAGAGGAGAGGAAATCTTACTGGCATCTCAACAGTATGAAGTGCCTGATGTAGATTAAATTGCAAGCCATGATTAAAGGCCTTTCCACATTCATAAGGTTTCTTCCCAGAATGAATTCTCTGATGGTGTGAGAAGCTTGAATGATAGCTAAAGGCCTTCCCACATTCCTTACATTCATAGGGCTTCTCACCAGTATGAATTCTCTGATGTTGAATAAGGTGTGAATGAAGTCTAAAGGCCTTACCACATATCATACATTCATGAGGTTTCTCACCAGTATGAATTCTCTGATGTCTTTTGAGGTGTGAGCACTGTCTAAAAGTCTTCCCGCATTCCTTGCACTCATAGGGTTTCTCACCAGTATGAATCCTCCGATGTAGAGTAAGTTGTAAGCCATCACAAAAGGCCTTCCCACATTCATTACATTCATAAGGTTTTTTGCCAGAATGAATTTTCTGATGGTGAGAGAAGCTTGAGTGATAGCTAAAGGCCTTTCCACATTCTCTACACTTGTAGGGTTTCTCACCAGTATGAATTCTCTGATGTATGGTAAGGTGTGAGCGATGCCTAAAAGTCTTTCCACATTCTTTACATTCATAGGGTTTCTCACCAGTATGGAGTCGAAGATGTTCAGTAAGTTGAAAGCCACGAATAAAAGCCTTCCCACATTGCTTACATTCATAAGGTTTTTCACCAGTATGAAGTCTCTGATGTTGAGTTAGCTGTGATCGCTGCCTAAAGGCCTTCCCACATTCCTTACATTCATAGGGCTTTTCACCAGTGTGAATTCTCTGATGCAGAATAAGTTCTGAGCCGTAATTAAAGGCCTTTCCACATTCTTTACATTCATAGCGTTTTTCACCATTATGGATTCTCAGATGTTGTTTAAGTTGTGAACAATGAATAAAAGCCCTCCAACATTCCTTACATTCATTGCACTTGCTACTATTTTGAATTCTCTGTTTAGTAAGATATGATGTATTAACAGTTTCTGCACATTCCTTACATTCAGAAAGTTTTTCTTTAGAATGAGTTCTTTTGTGATGACTAAAAAATAAATGGTAACTGAAGATTTTTCTACATTCTTTACATTCAAAAATTTTCTCTCTATTATAAAATTCCTGAGTGAGTAATGTATGTTGGTTAAATATAGGCATGTGTTCATGGTTGATAACAAATTGCCTGAAATAGCCCTCCTGTTCCTGTTGTGTCTCAAACTGACTACTGCATTCCCAAATATTTCTGAAAATGGACTTCTCAGGATTATGACTTTTAAATTGTTCCATGATAGCCCATCGGGATGGCTCTGTCTCATAAATGTCTCTTTTTGGAGATAACTTCTTGGCCTCACACCTGGACATCAAGTCTGAAAGATAAGAAACACATTTTAATTGCTGGCTTTGTGTTAGAAAACAAATAAAATATCTATGGTAGAAAAGAGAGATAACTGAAAAATAATTCACATAAGAGATGAAAGGCTTGGAGAGCTCTTAAATACCATCATGCAACTGAATGAAAAAAGGGTAAGGAGAACATAGAGAAATGAGAGCTCATAGGAGAAAGTGAGGGAGTTAATTAACAAGTCAGGTCAGTGGTTCTGAAATTTTTTTTGAAGATTTTATTTTTAGGCAATCTCTACACCCAACATGGGGCTCGAACCCACAACCCTGAGACCAAGAGTCAAACACTCAACCAACTGAGCCAGCCAGGCGCCCCAATGGTTCTGAAATTTTGATCTACCTCAGAATTTGTTGCAATTATGGATGTTTAGGAAACATTCTAGATCAAATGAATCAGTATCTACCAGAGTCAGTTTTAGAATGAGATCAATTGAATTAGAATCTACAAGTATATGTTTAACACTTTCCACCAGGCCAAAGGATTAAGATATGGAGACTACTAGTTACCCCCAAATGTATACTGTATATTGATTGAACCCATGGTTTTTAGTTGAGAATGCTGTCCAATATAAAACACTGCATTTCCCAGGCTCTTTTGCAGAATATGCGATGTAACTGAATTCTGCCTTAAAAAATGCATAAGTATTATATAGTAGCTTCTGAGATGTTAAAAGCCAGCTGGCCCCTGTCCTATATCCTTTATTCTTCCATTTCCTCAGACTGCAATGTGGATGTGGTGTCATGTCACATAATGGTTTTGCAGAGCAGAACTTCCACTCCAGCCTGGACTTTAATGCAAGAGAAAAGTAATCTTCTATATAGTTTAAGCCATTATTATTTTTGAGTTTCTGTCACATGCAGCCAAACCTATAACCAAATTAAAGTAGCTTCCTATTGAACTGAAATTTAAAAATCCAATTATTTATTATGAGAACACAAGACCCGCTGTGTACTTATAAGGCCTCATTTAGAGTCCATTGCCATTTTATTGGTGCGCTACAACACTAACCTCCTTTCAACAATTAGGACATTCCAAAGTCTTTCTTATCTTAGAGCTTTTCAGAGGCTGTTTCAGAAGAAAAAGTTTAAGACTGACAGCTGTATAAAGCATCCTATTCTAACACAATTTATTTTTCCATTTTCCTAGTGATGGATGTTTGGGTTGTTTTCAACTGTTGGCTATTATGATTAGTACTGCTATGAACATTCCTGTACATTTCTTTAGGTGGAAATAGGACTCCTTTCTGCTAAATGTATACATTTAGGAGTGAAACTGTTGCATCATGGGATATGCATTTGTTCAGAGTTCACTGACACTTTCCAATAGTCTCCTCATTTTCTCACCAAATTGTAAGAGTTCCAGTTCCTCACATCCTCACTAACACTTGTTACTGTCAATCTTACATAACATATCCTAGCAGATATGTTATGATACTGCATTGTGGTTTAATTTGCAATTTCCCTAATGATAAGTGAGGTTGAGCACTTTTTCATCTGTTTATTGGCCAACTGGATATCTTCTTTATTAAACTGCCAACTCAGGTCTTTTGTCCACTCCTACTGATTTTGTGTGTGTGGTAAAATCCATGTAACATAAAATCTACCAGTTTAAACATGTGGAAGTATACCATTCAGTAACTTTTAATATATTCTCAATGTTGTTCAACCATCAGATCACTATCTAATTCCAGAACATTCTCATCATGCCAAAAGAAACCACATATCCACAGTCATTTCCTCTTCCCCTCAGCTCCTGGCAACCACTAATCTGCTTTGCATCTCTATAAATTTGTCTATTCTGGAAATTTCACACAAATGGAATCATACAATATGTAACCTTTTGTGTCTTTTTTCACTGACTACAATGTTTTCAAGGATCAACCCTTTTGTAATATGTATCAGTACTTCATTTCTTTTTTAATGGCTCAGTAATATTCCATTGTACAAATATACCATTCATTATTTATCCATTCATCAGTCGAGTGTCATTTGGGTAGTTCCTGGGTTGTACTGTTCTTTTTTCTTTGTAAGAATTCTTAACGTATTCTGAATATAACCAACATATTGCAAATATCTTACTCTGGGCCTGGCATTTTCACTTTCTTAATGTTTTGATGAATAGAAGTTCTTAATTTTAAGGCAGTCTAATCCCAAGGTCATGAAAATATACTCATATTGTTTTCTATTTTGCCTTTCATATTTAGACCTATAACCTACCTAAATTAGATTTTAAATTTTTTTAAGATTTTATTTATTCATTTGAGACACAGAGATAGAGCATGAGCAGGGAGAGAGACAGAGGGAGAGGGAAAAGCAAGCTCCCCGCTGAGCCAGGAGCCCGATGTGGGGCTCGATCCCAGGATCCTGGGATCATGACCTGAGCCGAAGGCAGACACTTAACCATCTGAGCCACCCAGGTGACCCACCTAAATTAGATTTTATGATGTGAGACAGAACTCAAGATACCTAGCTTCTGATGTAGTTATCCAATTGGCTCAATAAGATTTTACTTATTTGAGGGGCGCCTGGGTGGCTCAGTCGGTTAAGCGGCTGCCTTCGGCTCAGGTCATGATCCCAGGGTCCTGGGATCAAGCCCCACATCGGGCTCCATGCTCAGTGGAAGCCTGCTTCTCCCTCTCTCACTCCCCCTAGTTTCTCTCTCTCACTGTCTCTCTCTCTGTCAAATAAATAAATAAAATCTTTAAAAAAAAATAAAAAGATTTTACTTATTTGAAAGAGAGAGAGAATGAGCACAAGCAGGGGGAGCAGTAGAGGGAGAGGGAGAAGCAGGCTCTCCACTGAGCAGGGAGCCTGATGCAGGGCTTGATCCTAGGACCCTGGGATCATGACCCAAGCCAAAGGGAGACCTTTAACCCCTTGGTTTTTCATAGTAAACATCCTAATGGATGTGAAGTGAGATCTCATTGTGGTTTTGATTTGCATTTCCCTAATGGCTAGTAATGTAAGCATCTTCTCATGTGCTTACTGGCTACTTGTATATCTTCTTTGGAGAAATCTGTATTAAAAATCCTTTCCCCCCTTTTTAAATTGAGCTGCTTGGTTTCTTTGATATTGAGTTGTAGGACTTCTTTATATATTCTGGATATTAACCCTTTGTCAGTTATATGATCTATAAATGTTTTCTCCTATTCCAGAGGTTGCCTTTTCACTCTATTGTGTACTCTTATGTATATACTTCTAGCTTTTATCTTGTATTCAATACAAATCTAATAAAATTCCTACGATGTTGTTTGAAGAACTTGAAAAACTAATTCAAAAATATATTTGGAAAAAACAAACATTTAAGAATAGCCAGAACACTACTGAAAAAGATCAGAGTCAGAGAATTTACCCTGCCTATGATAAAGACATCATAAAGACTTAAAGATGAAGACAATGTACTATTCATATAGGGCCTGACTCATGGAAAGACCAGAAGCAGACCCACATAGAAAGCATTACAGATCAGTGATGAAAGAATAATTTAATAAATGATATTAAACAACTAGCTATAGATATAAAAAAATTAACTCTGGTTCCCTACCATACACCATAAATACATAAACTCTAACTGCATTACAGACCTACAAGTTAAAGGAAAAACTGTAAAGCTTATGGGAAAAAATATGGATATATATAAAGCACACCTAAAGGTAGAATGGATTTCTCAAACAAGACACAAACAGGCTAACTAGAAAAAAGATAAAGCCAAAAGAAAAATGGGCAAAAGATCTGTTTAGACATTTCACAGAAGGAGAAACACTAATGCTAAATAATCATATGCAAAGATGCTCAAACTCACTAGAAATCAAGGACAGTCAAATTAAGATATAATGAGATACCATTTCATACTCATGAGATTGGTAAAACTTAAAATATCTAAGAATTTCACTCATTGTTAAGATGTTGAACCACCAAAATTATTAAACATTGCAGTGGTGATGTAAATTACTACCAACACTCAGGAAAACAATCTGGTGTAACATAAAGTTGAAGATGAACATGTTCTATGATCCATCAATTCCAACAGTACATAGCCTGGAGAAAATCTTGTATTATGTGCTTCAGGAGACATGTAAGAATATTCATTCACCATTGTGCATACTAGCAAAAAATTACAAACCCAAATTATAACAAACAGAAATTTGTGGAATGAAGTATTATACAGCTATGAAAATGAACTCAGGCATAAAACAATATGGAAAAATTATTATAAACCATGTGGTACAAAATAACCAAATCACAAAAAACACATCTCATTATCATTTTTATAAACTTAAAAATAAGCAAAACACAACAAATAGTATTTAAGGGCATATGCAAGTGTCATAAGCTATTTTTAAAAATGGAATAATCTGAGCCACCCAGTCGGTTAAGCATCTGCCTTCGGCTCAGGTCATGATCCCAGGGTCCTGGGATCGAGTCCCACATCGGGCTCCCTGCTCGGCGGAGAGCCTGCTTCTCCCTCTGCCTCTGCCTCTCTCTCTGTCTCTCATGAATAAATAAATAAAATCTTTAAAAAAAAATGGAATAATCATAATACAATTCAAGATAATGGTTACCTTTAGAGATGTAGCAGGGGAATGGACCAGGGAAAAGCATACAGGTAGCTTGCATGGCATTGGTCACGTAACAATTCCTAACTAAATCACCAGATAGACTCCTCAGATTAAATAAAACATTCCATTCTCTCTGGAATACATTATGACAGGATCCAGCAAGATCAGTGGTACTAGTTACTTGGCTACACGCATCCAAGACGATCCCAAAAACCAAGTTGTACGTCTGCCAGAAGTCAGCTGTATTTGTTCCCCTCCCTGTTTATACCAATAGATGAAATGAATATGAAAACTGTTTCAGTAAACTAACTGTTTTGGAAAGATCACATAATGGCAATCATTTAAGAAAAAGCAAAAAAAAAAAAAAAGCTATAAGAAAAAGATTGGTGATGGTGACATAAAAATTAAGTACTCCACACACACAGTCTTTAGGATCTTCCCCTTCTTTAAAGAAATCAAAGCAAATACC